CATAAGTTTTCGAACTGTTGGGTTGACAGGAACTGGGGAGGAAACAGGAGCTCACCCTGTTTAATAACAATATATCTTGTTTTAACGTTCATCACATAAACCAACTTTATATTCCTTCCTTTTACTTCTAATGGCCTTAACCTTTAGTTCAATCAAAAATTGTAGGATTTGATTTCTCTTTCTCTTCATTTTTTCTTTGTCCCATTGCACAGAGTTCTTCAAGGCTTTAACAAGCTTCTTTTGTAAATTCAATAGGAAAAAATTGTTCAGGTTACTATCATTTGCATTTCCCTTTGAATTTTAAAACTTCAGCCAGTTCCAGAAATAAGAACATATATATTTTAACCACAATCAAATAAATCAACTTTGTATTCCTTTCCTTTCCTTTTAACACAATAACTTTTCACTGTCTCTGAAAATACAACAAAAGATCTCTTATTCCCTTATCTCATCTCTTTTCTATAAACAAATTTTTAAGGCCTCACCATTCGGTCCTGGTCAGCAAAAATCCATTAAGAGTTACCAGAAACAACAACATATATATTTTAACCTTGATCAAATAATCCACCTTTATATTCCTTCCCTTTGCTTTTAAGGATCTTCAACTTTAGTCCCTTCAATAGTGTCCCAGAACTAGATTTGTTTTGACTTCTCTTTGTCTCTTCTCAGAAGCTCCTTCAAACTTTAATACATCTCTTTTGCAAATCCAAAATAAGAAAGTTATCCAAGTCACTCTTCTAGTTTGTTTTTTGTATATCCCTTTTAATTAGTAAGACATTAGCCAGTTTCATTTGTAAATCCAGTATAACATATTTTTCCATATCAGTCTTGTAACCTGTCATTTTTCAGTCCACATTAGAATCAGACTCAGTCTCTGTTTTATCCAGTAAAACCTGTTTGTCTTCTATAACCTCTTTTAAATCCATTTTTATAATCTTAAGAGTAATTTCTGAGTGCATTGTTTCCAAATATCCTTGAATTCTTGCAAAGTTAGAGTATTTTGCTCCATGGTAGGTCTCTTTTCCTTTAATTCTAATCTTTAGTTCTTTCTGGTTCCCTCTAGAGTCCAACCTTCAAAGTCCGCTTATCATGTTTTTTTCTAATAGCAGCATTTTCCTACAGGAAGGTTTCTTATATCTAATTTCAAAATCTTCATATATATTTTTATAGAATTCTAAACAACCCACAGGAAGTAGCCTTATAATTAATTTCAAAATCTTATTTCAAATCCATCTGGTCCCTTAGTCCGTTTATAACTTTCCAAAATCAACGTTCTAATCGCCCTTTTGCTGTTTATTCCAAAATAAGAATTTTTAAGTCCTTAAACTTACATAAAACTTCTTTTGTTAAGGATTGGAGAGCTATTAAAACATCAGCCAATTTCTTTTGTAGATTCAGTGAAACATCCTTTTCCAAGTCATTCTCTTGGCCTGTTAGTTGTAAATCTACTTTCAATACCACCTCTGTCTTGTCAGATAAAATTTGTCCTACATCCGTCATTTCTTCAATAACATCTTTTGGACATAGTCTATCCATAGAAGCAGACATCATTACTGACATTGTTGATATTTTGGCTACTTATTTCTGACTCCATTCTTCAAAAGTCTTCTTCAGTATTTTCATTGTTACAACATTTTGCGTTTTATAGGCTTGCATTTTTTTCCTTTGCCTAAAACCTTTAGTTCCCTCTAGTGTCCAGTTTTTAAATCATGAAATTATTTATCTCTGTTATGTCTTCCAAAAACCAAAACAGATCTATTTCCCATGAGAAGCTGTTCTTTATAACTAATTCCAAAGTCTTATTGTAAAAGTTTCAATATGGCAAATTTATCTGGATCCTTAGTCCATTTATAACTTTCTAAGATCAAAATCTTATTTGGCTTTTTACTGTTCATTTCAGATTCTTTAAGTTCTTAAGCTTATAATTAATTTTTCTTTTGATCAGAGTTGAAGATCAACTCACCCAATGAAGACTTTTCAAACTTGTCATTCCAAAGGTCTTTAATAGCTTTAAAATGGTTAATAGGCAATTTCTGAAAGTGATTAGAAAGTGAGGCTTGTGAACTTTAAAAGGCTCTACTGTACTTGTAAGCAAGACAGCTAATTCCTTCATCTCCCAGTGCTCAAACCTACCAAAACTGCTGTCCTGCAATCTCCTTGTGAGCAGCAGCTGTCTGGAGCACATATGGACAATCTCTTGGCCTCTCCTTGTCCAGAGAGGTTCCAAGGAACTCTACTCACTGGTTCCTAGGTCTTTGCCGTGGTCATTGGCTCCACTTTGGCTGAGCCATCTTCAGTTTGCCATACCTCCCCTAGAAGTTTTTTGATATACAGAGATGAATGATTTCAAAAGGCCTTCTCAGGGCAACTAAGCTAAAGCATGTGGACACAGAAGTCAGTCTGTTTGTGCTGAACTTAGTTCCTGGTAAGTCTTAATAGAGTTGCCACCAGAATGTCTGCAAGGTATTGTCAGAAAGGTCAAGCTGGCAGCCACAGCTGTGACTGAAGCTTTGCCTGTTTTTTATATGCTTCACAACACACATAAGAAACAGGCAGGGATTCAATCACACAGTTGTGGCAGCCAGCTTGACTTCTTTGACCGCACCCTGCAGACAACCATGCCACTTGATCCAACGCCAAATGGATGCTCAACTGCACTGGTCCTTGCCAAATGGGTCATGATTATCTCTACTCTGTTAATTGGCGTATGTGCATTTTATGCCAATTGTTTCCTTCTTTACTGATTGATTGAGTGATTTAGTGATTTAGTGCTAGAATGATGGGTCTGATTTATAGGTCTAGCGCTAAATCCCATGGTGACTCCGGAGCAAGAGGATCCTCAGTTTCCCACTTCTGAAGCAAGGATTCCAGCCAAGGGTGCCTGTTGGGGCAGGGGGTTTAAAAAAAGGCAAGATGACGGCTGCAATCATGCAATTGAAGCTCTACTCCTTTTTTGCCACCTTGACTTTTTGCCATCCTTTCCCCCACTCTCTCCCCTTGGTATCCTCCAAAGCCAGTCCTGATCCAGAAACTGCAAGATAAGGAAGATCCAAAGGGGTAGGACTGAAGCTGGAAGATGGGGAACATTGAGAATGCCAAGGCTTCTCAGTGTTCCCAGCTCTTTGGCACCTTCCGAGACATTCAGACCAACTTAAAAAACCTGGTGTAAATGTGTTCATGTTTGCCCCATTGGGATCAATAAGAATTTGGAAAGCACAATTATAACACTGACTTCAGAAAAGTTGTACCTGTTGAAATTTCCCTCTCTATCCTATTAAAACAGGAGCAGCAGACTCATATCGTAACAACACCCATACAAAGAGCTTGATTCTTACAGAAGCCAACTTCCTCCTAGAGGCATTTTTCTATTATTCATTAACAAGTGCACACAGAAGACTGCATGGGACCTAAAATGCTTGAAGCTTGATCCCTGCATTCTCTGGGAAGAAGTTAAGATAAGGACATTATGGATAGGGTAGGAAGCCATAATGTAGCTTGTCTGGGACTGGCTTAGCATGTTGTGCAAACCTAGTCACTGTCATTTGTAAACCATGATGGATAAATTCAGTAAGCCATGATAGAACACTATGTCCTAATAAAGGAAGTGGGTTTTAGCACAGCCAAAGAGATTTGGGTGTTATATTCCCTAGAGTCAATTCATCGTAAATTCTTAAATAAGGGTAATTAGCAAAACAACTATCTTATTGTCACATTTTGAAGTTCATACGGAAAGTCCTGTTAAATGAAACAAAAACAAGATGTTCTTCAGCCTCTTGGAATCCACCTCACAGATTTATAAAGTAAGTTAATAATTTGCTTTCTATGCATGCTGCTTACACACATGAGCGTTCCAGGAAGATTGGAGCCTCCCACACCTTTTTCTGTTTATCAAGCCCTACATGATCTGAGTCAACAGAATTCTTTGCAATATCACACTGATAATGCAGTAGTTTTCAAATTGCATACTTCCTTATGAAAGCCCTTGGAAATATAGTGCTACCCTAATACAATTCTGACCAAATATGTATAGGATTGCAGTCCAAGGAATAGTTGCAGTGGAATTAAAGCTGAAGTAAACCTGCCATTTTGCTGCTTAGATGACTCCCAAAGTTCACCTCAAAGAATCTGGCATGAATTAATTTCCTCCCATACAAAAAACCTAAAATGTTAATCTGATAGATCTTAGACATGGGGGTACGCTGTACAGCCTTCCAAATGTTGCTGAACCATAATTCCCAGCATCCCTCAGGATATGCCACACTGGCCTAGAGTGTCTTTTGCTAAAAGAGCTTAGAATTACATGAAAACATCTCTAAAGTCCTTCCAAATTGTCAGTGTTTCAGATACTTTCATATTCTTTTAGATCTGAAATGTGCTCTCTGAAGACCCAACCATTTTTCAGTGCCCACCCCCAAAATCTTCCAAAACATTGCCACCAAATTGTAATTTTCATATGACAAAGGGTGAAACCATTAAACCATTAAATGTTATTTATTTAGAAATTTTATATGCTACTGTCTCCCATAATGAGCTTGAGTGACTTACAAGGTACAGCAAAAGAATCACCAACTTCAATTTAAATTATTATTATTATTATTATTATTATTATTATTATT